ATTACAAATTCTGTTCGCTTTTGTACACCGGTCGATATCCGCAGAACAACCAAATTGAGGGTCACGCGGGAAGCGGTTTATCGAAAATGAGAACAAACAAACTATGAGCGGAAAGGACTTTAAAGATATAAATTTTGCTGAAGGTTGCAGGAAGACTGCAATCTGTAAATTACCTTTGTTCATATTGATTACCCGGGATACAAAATTATGTCATCGTTTCCAGTCAAATGAAGTCAGTATTAGCTTGGTCGTAGTAGTTTCTCATCGGCTGTGTGCGAATCCATTTAAATGCACCTCAATAAGACAGACTGTTATAATAAGCATTAGCGAGTTCAACATTATATCTTTGTCTACACGAGTTTGACTTAAGTCGCCGTAAAGTTCAAAATAATTTTTAGAACATATGCAAAGTTTCATTCTGTTTATTGAGAAATGCCAAACATGTCAACACCGTATTCGGACAGCAAGTGTGAAATTAACACCTGACTTCTTGTTGACCTCCCCACTTTCCAGGTTTCTCGGACAACCGACCATATTCTACGGAGCATACATGTTATTCGATCTGGTGCATGGAGATGAGTGGTACACAACCGGAAATTTTCCCCGAGTCACTTTCTGTGATTTTGATATGCGTCGAATGGGCAGTAACTATCATCGGCACACACTTCAATGTGTGATCGGGATCAACATGTTTAACGAGAAAATTTTCATTTTTCTCTGGTTCTGGCTCATGATTATCACGTTCATGAATATCAACAGCTTCCTGCGATGGTGTTGTCGGTAAGTGGACGATGTGCAATGTTTGCGAATTATCTCTCTATTCTCATGTCTGTCTACCCGTTTTTCTGCCTGTCCGTCAGTCTGTCAGTCTGTATATCTCACTGGTTGGTTGACTGACTGCCAGGCTGGCTGGCTGACTAAATAACCGACTGAATGAATGAATGAAATAATTAATTAATTAATGGTTGTCTGCCTGCCTATCCAGACTTGGTGATTCACAGCTTCACGACGGAAATAGTTACATATGGATAGTTGAGTGATTGTTAAATGGCATACAAGAAGTATAAAAATGACGTTAAAATAAAGAAAACTATAAGATCAGTTATTTATTCTTTCTTTCTCTCCTTTTTCGAATAAATCTCAGATCAACGTTTGAATCAAGTCGGGTTTCATTCATACAAACTTTACTTTTGGAACGAAATGTACTCAGTACAACCTCGTCCAGTGGTACCTCATGCTCCTCTAGTTCCACGTACAAAGCGATCAACAGCGGTGAAGATACCTCTCTCGGGCAACAGTACCCGTTCAGTTCGGGTCGGTTGTTAGTCGACCGATTGACTGAAGCGGACAAAAAAAGCACCGCATTTTTCACCGAACAAGTCCTCGGTCAAGACGGAGTTTTTGTGCTTCGTCTAGTCACATTAAACGCTGGCCGTCCGGTTGCTGCCCACATTGCCGAACAAGTATGGACCCGATACAAACAAGCAACCGAACCGCGACCGACCGATAGAAGACCACATCTGACAAAGCTGGTTCTTCCACCGCTACCAACTCGAAGTTCGACCAGGCCACCAACACAGACGGAACCGGCTCATCATCAACCAAAATCACCACAGCCACAGTCCTCTTCTTCCCCGAGTGATGTGCGTTTACCGATGACTCAACTCACACCTCAACCGGGCCCTTCAAGTGTTCCACTAATCACTCATCCTAGTCCACTAACCACATTTGGGGTCACTATCCGATCCCGGCTACGACCGAACACCGTCGCGGATGACCATCCGGTAGCATCACGATCTTCCAACACCTCGTATTCCGCCTCAACCGAACAGTCAGCCAAATCGGAAATAAAAGTATTACCTTATTCAGACGGTCTTGTGTGAGGAGTG